TAAAATAAAGATGCTGTTTGTCAGATATAATAACACAGGTAGATGCTTTTTTAGAGTGTGTGTTGTCAGAACTGATGGTTGCATAACAAGAAATGTGACATTGTCAACATATTACACAAGTCACCGTGTCAACACAGTAAACAGTATACATGTTATGCAAGATGTCAGTGGGCGCGAATCTAAAGCCACAGCCTGCCTTGAAGCCGCGGGTCAGAAGCTGCTGCGGGTTCTCCAGGTCTGCAGGTTGATGTATTCTACCTGTCATCCTGGTGGAACTTGTTCCTTTACGCTGCAAGACTCAAGCACAATGGATAGTGGGGAGCAGCAGAGATGAATAAATGAGACCGAACAGCAACACCACAAAAAGGGCTGAATCACACAGGGGTCAAGAGTTTAGAGCTCTTTCTTACACAACTGTGGATTTAAGGCTATGGGATCCAACTGTGACACAACCGGAGGCCTGCAGAAACAATTAAGCGGCTTAAAAAATGTCTGCTACTCTGATAGATGATAAAATCCAAACAGATTTGTCTTTGAGGAGAGAAGAGAGTGGATGAGTGCAGCAGGTGGCCTGAGCAACAGATCCATTAAAGAGGAGATTGATGGTGCCTGCTAGCTGAACCAGCCTTGGAGGAGCACTCCATCTGAGCAGTGTGGCTGGGAATGTGGAGAATGTTCCTTCATTCTTCGCAGCTCCATGGATCTACACTCACCACACACTTTATTAGAAACATATACTCTCCACACAGTGACCACTACATGTGTCATCTACAGAGGTTACCATCATAGGGTGTTGACAGTGATGTGGTAGTGTGTTTGGAGCTGGTACGATTGTATCAGACACAGCTGTGTTGTTGGGGTTTTTGCACATGTGATTGTGACTGCTAGGTTAAGAGTGGTTCAACACTGAAATGTATCCAACCATGAGCAGCTCTGTGGTCATTAATTGACCACTGCTATAGGGCTGGAGCAGAGGTGAGCAACTCAACAACTAAAAGGGCCATCTTAAATCTCTACATGACCTGTTTTTATTTTATTTTTAATTAACTGGCCATTATTCAAAGTATACCAAACTGCAACTACAAAATATAGGTAGTACATTAGCTACAGATAACTGTTAAACCGCCTTAAATGTCCCCAGGAGGTAGGTCATTTTAAACCTGTCTATTTGCTTGAACTAGACACCTGGCATCTTTTCTTTTTGTGGTACCGCTGTCCCATAGATTGTTGTAGGGGGAGTGGGATTGGAGCGCACATTACATTGAAGTGCATTGTAAAATGGGCTAATATTAATGGAAAGTTAAAATAAGTTTACAGGCAAGATAGGATTGACAGGTCTGACACGGCCCACTGGCCTTGTGTTTGACACATGAGGGGGACAGGATGGCACACAGATTGTGTCTTAACAAATGGGCCACAGTCTCCAGAAAGATGGACCTACAAGGGAGGAGTTTCTAATAAAATGGCCAGGGGTCATGGCGTTTTTATTTTGTTTATTTATTTTTTTTTTTTTCCCATGCAAAACATTGCATTCAAGGGATCAAAAAATACAGCACTATTTGCTTGTTTACTTGCTATTGTATGTCTAAAACAATGTGCTCCCAAAGCTCCAACCACGAGCCTCTATCTTTAACCTGTATGTTTAAATTAGACTATAAATAAGATTTTAGAGAAGGAAGGAAGGGATGAAGAAAGGGATGAAGGAAGGGATGAAGAAAGGAAGTAAGGAAGGAAGGAAGGAATGAAGGAAGGAAGGGATGAAGACAGGCATGAAGGAACGAAGGAAGGGATGAAGACAGGCATGAAGGAACGAAGGAAGAAAGGAAGGACGGAATGAATGAAGGAAGTAAGGAAGGGAGGATTGAATGAAGGAATGACGGAAGGAAGAAAGGAATGAAGGAAGGAAGGAAAGAATGGAAGGAAGGAATGAAGGAAGGAAAGAAGGAAGGAAGGAAGGAATGAATGAAAGAAGAAGGGAAGGAAGGAAGGAAGGAAGAGATGAAGGAAGGAAAAGAGGAAGGAACGAATGAAGGAAAGAAGGAAGGAAGGAAGGAATGAATGAAAGAAGAAGGGAAGGAAGGAAGGAAGGAAGGAAGGAAGGAAGAAAGAGTATTTCATGTTGCAGGTTCTGTTTGGTTACCATGAATGAGCTGCATAATGAACTAGAAAAGTGCACTTCCTTCAGGAATGTGATTGATGTGATTGATGTGATTGATGTGATTGTGCAGCTCAAGCAATTCCCAGTGGTTGCTCAAGTGTTGCCAGACAGTTACTATGGTATTTTAGGTGGTTGCTAAGGTGTTGCCTACATGTTACCTTTGTACCCCAGGTGGCTTCTAGGTTGTTGCTATAGCATCTCAGGTGGTTGCTAGAGTGTTACTAGGTGGTTGCCATGGTGTCTGTGGTGGTTCCTATGTTTCTGTGATTTACATTTTTATTTCAAAGTATATTACTTTAATTAATTACTCTAATTCTTGACTTAATTGCAAACAATGGATAACAACAGTGTTGTGCATTGCTGTGCTGTGCATAGTCGCTGATAATAGGGAGATAAATAGACATCAGGGCTGTCTGTATAGAGTTATATAGAGTTGTATAGAGAAGATAACTGGTGAGGTTGTTAAGAAATTGAATCTTTCTGTAAGTCATGGGTAGAATTGTGTCAGTATCTATATGAGGTCCAATAAAGATCTTTAGGGGGGCTGGTTGCCACAGGTTGCCCCAAGCAGTTACACTATTTTGATAACAAGTATGTTGGACTACTTTAGTAATCCGCAGCATTTCATGGTGTGATTTTGATGTATATTTGTACATCTTGGTAAATGTTTGACAAACAGATCTATTTTTGCAGCTGATCTTTTCAGATTTATTCAGTGTGTAAATGGTGTTTTTTTGCATCTAAAGGTGGAAACACAGGCAACAAAAGACTTAAGAGTAACTTTTGAAAATTAAAGATGCGAAGGTCACACAAATATTCATTTGCATGTCATTTTCAAAATGACTAAGGCTAAAAAGCCACCTTTTTCTACCTGTTCAGTAGGTAATCACAGGCACAAGCTTCATATCTGCTATTTTTGAAACTGGAGGTCAAAGAAAAGTCGAATATGAATCATCCATTGAGAGGTTTTCCAGTGACGCATTGATTCGAGTCGTGTTTTTTACATTAAACTCTCAATCCAGGCTGTTCTCTTCCCTCACGTTTCCTTATGTGTTTATGTGGTTAATCCTGTCAACCTGACTTCATCTGATCTGCTCACATAAAGCCTAAAACATTTTTAGAGAGTGTTACTGCTGGCATTTTGCCTTTTTTCAGAGCCAAAATAAAGTTGATAAAAATAACAGACATTTGAAATAAAAAGTAATTTTTTAAAAGGCAGTTAAAAAGTAAAAACGTGTGTTATAAATATGAAAAAGTGTCTGCTGGTCACATCCTGTATACATAACAAAATAATGCCACACCGTACTAAGGCGTGGGAACAAGATTATTCCTTATTAAGCTGTGGTCAAGGCTTAATTATCTCAATCCCACGCCTTACTATGTTGTGGGCTCGCATTAGATTCTCATTCCCATGCCTTACTAAGTCGTGGCCGCGACTTAATTATCTCATTCTCATGCCTTACTATGTTGTGGGCTCGCATTAGGATCTCGTTCCCATGCCTTACTAAGCCATGGCCACAACTTAATTATCTCGTTCCCATGCCTTTCTAAGTCCCGGGCTTGCATTAGGGTCTCATTCCCATGCCTTACTAAGTCATGGCCACAACTTAATTATCTCATTCCCATGCCTTACTAAGTCGTGGCCACAACTTAATTATCTCATTCTCATGCCTTTCTAAGTCATGGGCTTGCATTAGGATCTCATTCCCATGCCTCACTAAGTCATGGCCATGACTTAATTATCTCATACCCACACCTTACTATGCCGTGGGCTCACATTAAGATCTTGTTCCCACGCCTTACTATGTTATGGACTCGCATTAGGATCTCATTCCCACGCCTTACTAAGACATGGCCATGCATTATTTTTATTTGTATAGGATGTCACCAGCAGGGCTCCATAATAATAAACTGTTAAAATAAAAAAAATAATTAAAGAATAGTTTAAAAAAATCAGTCATGTTAGTAGTCAGTTAAAAAATTCTCAAGGAAAAAAAAATTTCAAGGAGAAAAAAATAACAAATCTTACTAAATCAGCCCCTTTTTTTGACCCTCTTCTCCACTCAGGTCAAATCCACATACGTACACCAAGAAATTAAAGATATAAATCACTGCTGTTGGAAGAAAACCTTGTTTATCCATTTTTTTTATTTTTCAGTTTGGCATGATTTGAAAATGCCTTTTGCCCTTTACACTGTGTGTAAATTTCATGTTGAATGGACCAAAAGAAACGACCCAAAATGACTTGGAAAGACGTCTGGTTCCATTGACTTCCATTAAAAGTAAAGCATGTTTTTTCCTTCTCCTGTAAAGTTACCATTTTGGAGATATGAGGTTTTGTTCTGACAACAGCAAAATACAGCATCATAGATGATATAAATGAGTGATCAATATGAATGAAAAAAATGAATACAGATATGTATTCATTGTATGTTGTATGTAAATCTATGAAAGTCTGCTTTCTGTGAGTGACCTGCGCTGCTGGTGTCCTCAGTGCTGGTGTGAAGGCCGTGTTACTGCGGAGAGGGGAGTGTAGAGGCGGCGTGTCTGTGAGTTGTAGCTTGTCCCGCAGCGTTGATAAGGTTGTGGTAACAGCGCTGTTATTGATATCCAGCCTAACTCAGTGTGTCCCCTCATCCCCTCACAGCCCCCCACCTCCACTCCACCTCCTCCGCCTATATTACTACTATAAATCCACACGGCCTCATTGTTATGGTCATTGTGTGGGCAGTGAGGGATGGTTATTATCCCTGGCCTGGTTGTTGGTGTTTTATGTGTCTTCTTTGCTCTTCTCTCTCTCTCTCTCTCTCTCTCTCTCTCTCTCTCTCTGTCTGTCTCTCAGGGTCCTGATCACTGTGTAAAGTGTCTGCACTTTAAGGATGGTCCTAACTGTGTGGAGAAATGTCCTGATGGTCTTCAGGGAGCCAACAGCTTCATCTTCAAATACGCAGAGGCCAATAACGAGTGCCACCCCTGCCATGTCAACTGCACACAGGGGTACGTACGTGTGTGTCTGTTTCAGACCCCCGCCCGGCCTTCTGTACTGCACTGACATCATCATCAGCGTTTAGTTTCCCTTTTCTTCAGTGTGTTTTCTCTCTGTTCTAATCTCTGATGGGCATTTCGTGCTGTACTTTAGATCCACTGTCCACTATAACAAATCAGACTACTTGATTTGAATTTATTGTTGAAGCTCTTCTAATTCTAAAAGCTAAAGGGTCACTTGTTGCACAAAATCCTAGGCTCATTACATACTAAGGCTTATTACTCAGTAACTACAGGGACTTCAGTGCAAACTGGCTCAGCTATTCTTAGGTTATAGAAGTGTGTAATAAAGCTTTGAGCCCTGGTCTTATAAACAGTTCATCTTTATTATGCTTGTTGAAGTGAAGCTCTATTCTAAGATCTCTTTATTTTCTATTACCATTTCACAGTGAACACACAACGCTATAAAAGCCCATAAAAAGCTGTTCAGTTTACTCGATGCAAACCTCCACACATTTTTATCTTAGAGTTTTACACTGTGTTAGATTTCTTTCTTTCTTTCTTTCTTTCTTTCTTTCTTTCTTTCTTTCTTTCTTTCTCTCTCATTTCTGTCTCATTCTTGCTTCTTTTCTCTTCTCTTCTCTTCTCTTCTGCTCTCTTCTCTTCTGCTCTCTTCTCTTCTTCTCTTCTCTTCTCTTCTCTTCTTTTCTGCTCTCTGCTCTTCTCTTCTCTTCTCTTCTCTTCATTTTCATTGTTTTGACTACATTTTGAAGTTTTCCTCAAAGCTTCAGGCTTTCCTCCTTTTTCTTTCTTTCTTTCTTTCTTTCTTTCTTTCTTTCTTTCTCTATTTATTTATTTATTTATTTCTCTATCTCTCTTTATTCACCTCTCTATCTCTTTCTTACTGAATAGCCAGGTAACGTTGCTAACTTTAGCTTTTAGCATGTTGTTGTCCTCAATTATCTGACTATCTTTCTGTCGTTCGAGTAGTCAGTTCTCTCCACTGTGATAATGATTTGGAGACCACAGTTATATGACTGCAATAAGATATTTGGTTTCCTGGCAATGACTTTCGAAATCTGACTTTCATCAGCATTTACCAGCTACAAAATAAAAATCTCAATCCAGCCCAACCACAAAAATCCCCCTCAAAGCAATTGGAATTTTCTGAAATTCTTCCCACCTTCAAGATACGTCATCAGATGGGAATTTTCCTAGTCTTTAAACCAGAAAATCTCACTCTAGGGACAATTTCAGCACAGTAGAAGGTCACAATGTGTACAACAGATGTACAGCAGGTGTACAACGAAGCAGAGTTTAATAACAGATAGACATAGACTGGTGATTGCTCAGTATAGCTGGATAACATAAGCCAAAATCTTACCTATAGGCCCATTGAATATACTTGAATATGCTTAAGTTCCTGGTTTGTGGAAAACGTCCCAGGATGAGCTCTCCACAGTGCTAGCAGATGAAGATCAGTCCAGCCCTAGATGAACTCTGAGTTAATGCACTCTGAGTTTACTGACAGATGGGCCAGTCTAGAACGATCTCTGAGTTTACTAACAGAAACAACAACGCAGTCCGTCCAGGAGAACTGAGAGAGAAACCATATGTTACCCTGTTAGAGTGAATTACATTTGGAGAAAGGAAAAAAGCTGCTTCACTGGTGATTTTAGGAGCTACTGAGGCAGCGTTTCTGACTGAGGGAAACAGGACCAAACTGCAGTCCCCATCACACACTCACACACTCCACCAGAGCTGATAGATTACTGCACTTCTAGAGGCTAAAAACGCATTAAGATTCAACTACATTGATTTGGAAGGTTGGGATGGATAATAATTAATAATAATAATAATAGTAATAAAATTAAATGAAATTCTCAGGCTTTTTTCAAATGTAAAAATCACCCAAAAAGTTTATATTTCCCCACTGAGTAAACAGTTTTTCTAGTCACATTTTCATATTAACTGTACTTTTTAGAATTATTTTGAATTGTAGAAATTGAATGAAAAAAATTTTTAAGTTTGAAATTTCATGATGCATCGAATTCCTTCCTAAAAACCATAACTGTGGTGAAATTTGAGACTTTATAATGTACAGAATCATTATCCAAAGATCTAAAGTTCAGTCTTATCGAACCATCATAAAATGTGGCTAGGAATTCTGAATTGATTTGTAAAGATCTATAATCGAATCAGGAGGAATCGTGGTGAAATTTGAGACTTCATGACACATTGACTCTTCTTCTAAAAACAACGAATAAATAGGCTCACCAGACAAAAAATTAGTCACTGAAACATATCTAATAGGGTGTAATACCTCCACGAATAACAGCTGTGATTTGATTTGGGCTGGACTGGACAAGTTTCTGGATGTAGGTGACATCAATGTTCAGCCACTCTCGCATCAAAGAATTATGCAATTTGGCCAGATTTCGTGGATGTCTTCCCTGGAGTCTTACTCGTTGTTCCAGTTAGTCCCACAGATTTTCAAGAGTATTCAAATCTGAGGATTTTGCAGGCCAGTCCACATATATGAATGCTCCTAAATGTTCGTCATACCAGTCACATCTGCAGCCCTGTGAAGGCGAGAACTGTCATCTTGGAATACAGTGATAGGAATGATATGGTCAGTAAAATGATGAGCAAAAGGCAAAACCTGGTTGTCTGGGATTCAGATTTACTGTCACCTCAACCAAAGGACCCATTTCTGTGTAACTAATACACCGCTAAAACGTCACAGAGCTCCTCCAACTTGAACCATACGTTGCACATAGTCCTCATTGAAGGCTTCCTGAGATCTACGATAAATATTACGCCAAGCATCATTCTTGTTCAGGCTGAAATGAGATTCATCTGACCAGATAACACGTTTCCACAGTCCAGTTTTTGTGTCTCTTCGCCCACTGTAACCGGGAAACTTTGTGAGCAGAAGTGAGCCAAGGCCTCTTAAGTGCCTCTGCTCCATGTGTTCATGGTATGCAGTTCCCTGTGGAGAGTTCTTTCAGAAATTGGTTGTGAGGAACCTGCACTGACCTCTAGAAGCAATTTTTTCCTGAAAGTGATGCGATTTTTATTCACAAGCTGTGAAACACGCTGGCTGTCCCTGTCCATCAGTTTTGTCTTTCGGCCACAATTCTGGCGAGAATTTCTTGTAAACTGGGATTTTTACCGCTGCTGGTCAACCCATATGACCGTACGCTTCAATATACCTGCTAATTCAGCTACTTCCTCCACACTGTGGCCTTTGACACACCCAAATACAACCACTCCTTTTTTCTAATCACTAATATCCGCTTTGCGACCTATTTTCTACACATCTAACGAGTCTGTACCTGCCCTGTACCACCTTTTCTCAATCTATGAATCCCATCGCACACCCCGCAGGTATTTATAGCCCGATCATCCTTGTGCAACGCCATCTGCAGGAGCCTGAAGTTACTACCACCTTAAACATGCAAATTTTGTCTGGGGAGCTTATAAATGGAGTTGTGATGAAATCTGAGATTATCATCTTGTGTTTAATTGTTTCCTAAAGAATCTGAATTGAATCCAATCAAATTGAATCATGTTGTAATTAAAGATTTTACAATGCTCTGAATCGATTCCTAAAGAATGATAATTGAATCGAATCATCTGAGGTCAGTGATTTATACCTCCAGCCTCTTCTCCCGAACTCTCTGGTTTTCCTTCTCAAACATCAAAGTTCCTCCAGCGGCCGGCGCTCCACACACACCCTTCATCTGCGCGGCTCCAGCGGGGTGTCGGCTGACGGGCCAGAGCGCTGTATCAGTTTGACGAGTGGCCCGAGGCCTTTGATCTGGAGGAGAGGAGAAGAGAAAGGCTGCAAGTGTGGGAGAAAGACGGAGGGATGATTAAAAGAACGAGGCTTAATGCATCATCAAAAGATCCGCAGTGTCTCCTTCACCAGCTCACTGGAGCGCTGAGACGTGTGGACGTGTGTGGAGGGGAAACTCCGCGTTCCTGTGGGCCTGAGAATGGACTGATAGTGAAAGTGTACAGGATTGATGGAGGGATAGAGGATGTTTTCAGATGGATGAGGGGAATAGGTGGAAGTGAACAGGATGTTTTTACTATAGTTTTCCTCAAAGCTTCAAGTTCTCCTCTTTTTTTCCTTTCTTTCTTTCTTTCTTTCTTTCTTTCTCATTCCTTACTCTATCCCCTTCTTCCTATCACTTCCTTTTTTTCTGTTCGTCTTTCTTCCTCTCTCACATTACCTTTAAATTCATTCTCTCTCCCTCTTCCTCTCTCCCTCTCTCACACTCTTTCTCTCTCTTTCTCTTTCTTTCTATCCTTTTTCTTTTTTTCTTTCTTTCCCGTTCCTTACTCTATCCTCTTCTTTCTCTCACTTCCTTTTTTCTCTCTTCTTTTTCTTTCTTTCTTTCTTTCTTTCTTTCTTTCTTTCTTTCTTTCTTTCTCTATACCCTTCTTCCTCTCACTTCCTTTTCTTCCTCTCTTCTTTATGTCTTTCCTCTCACATTACCTTTTACCTCTCTCTCTCTCTCTCTCTCTCTCTCTCTCTCTCTCTCGGCTGCTGTTGTTATTCCTCTGTATTTCAGTGATCTTGATTCACTGAGGTCAGACAGCAGATGTGGGTTTCTATAAATATATGGTCTTTTGAAATATGTATATTTTTATATTCATTTACATATTCAGAGTCATATGCAGTCATTTAGCACCCAGGTCAGAATCCATGTTTTGTTGATGTTTTGTTGTTTTTCTGAGTGGAAATAATTGAACACGTCCTCTTCAGAGAACACGCTTTGATTTTAAATACATTCTAACTCACAATTACTGTTTATTTGTTGATGTTAAACATGTCAAATTCAGTAAATAATCAGTAACTGTGTATTAAGATGTGCTGAACTGTGATCTCTGAAGAGGACCTGTTCACTTATTTACACTCAAACAATCAACAAAACATTAATATTAAATTACATGACATTTCAACAGGGTGCTCAGACTGTGCATACGACTCTATATTAGTGCTGACGAACAGGATAGTTCTACGATTCTAGAACCAGGAGAACAAGTTGACCGGATGTTTATTTGTTTGTTCATTTTGTATGTTTCAGATGCACAGGCCCCAGACTTCAGGACTGCATCGGCATGATTGACAGGTAAGAACACAAACCTTTATTTCTTCATATATGTATGTATTTGGAGAAAGAGAGAGAGGGAAATAGACATAGACAGAGAGACAAACAGAGAGAGATGAGAGTGAGAGACAGATGGAGGATAAGAGAAAAGAGAATGACTGACTAGCTAAGATGTTGGAAAGAGTGAGCAAGTGAGAGAAAGAGAGTGAAGAGGAGAGAGAAAGGAGAAAGAAAAAGAGAGAGGAGCGAGGGTGAGAGAGGAAGGAGACTTAGAAAGAGAAAAGAAGGATATGGAAGACAGAGAGAGAGAGAGAGAGAGAGAGAGAGAAATTTTAGTTTTATCCAAACTTTAAAATAAATTAAAATTAATCAAATGACACTTTTTATTCTTCTTCTAAACCCAAAATGAAGACTTGGGTGGTAAAACATTCACCAAAACAAGTAAAAAGTGAGGTTAAAATCTCAAACAATGCTTTCAATCTATTACATTGTGTAAAACAATGAAAAACATTTTCCCTTTTAAAACAAAAAGGACACTCTGAGGTCACTACAGGGTTAAAATGGATAGAAAAGCATTAACAGCAACTATACCATGTAAAACTCTCCTCTGTAAAAATGACTTGGTCAGTGGTTTGTAAAGTGCTCTCCGTGCTGGTTTGACCTCACTGCCAAGGCCAAAGTGTGCCCTCCAGGGAGTGTCCACCTGGCCAGACAGCTTAGCCTGGTGAAGCACCTTCACACACCCCCTGTATAAGGCTTTGGCATGAAAACAGTCAAACCGCATTATTTTCAGTCCATCCAGCGCTAAAAGAGGGCCCTGTGTGCCTAAAATGGCAAAATTGAGGCTGACCCAAAGGCACGGAAAAGGATCCTGTCTTTGCTGTCCTGCCAGTCCCGGTGTCCATCCCTTCAACATAGTCCAGTCTTTATCAGTCAGTACCTCTTGAAACCTGTGGTGCAACTACGCAGTGACCCTGACCGACCTTATGCCCAATCTTTGGGCCACTGCCTCTGCGTCATCCAGAGCCACCCCTGCAGCTTCCACCAGGTGCCCCACAGTGACCACACCTGCCTCCTTTAATCTCACAGACAGTGCTTGGGATCCATTCTCCCTGACAAACAGCCGAGCCCCATAAACCACGAGCCCCCGTAGAAGCCAGTAGAGCGAGTCACTGGGGGTCTGTTTCTCCACCTTGTACCTCCGCCATGATCTAAAAACACTCATATAAAAAGAAGAAAGGAGAGAGAGAGAAAGAGACGAGCAAGGGGAAGAGAGAAAGGAGATGAGAAAGGGAAGAGAAAGGGAAAAGAAGCATAAGGAGAAGAAAGAGTGAGAGCTAGAGAGATAAGAGAGAAGAGAGAGAATGAGCAGGTGAGAGAGATAGAAAAAGAGAGAGAGATGGAGGATAAGAAAAAAGGAATGACTGACATTAGCTATGATGTTGGAAGGAGTGAGCAAGTGAGAGAAAGTGAGAGAGTGAAAGGGGATAGAAAGAGGTAGCGAGAGATGAGAGAGGGACAGAGAGAGATCGAGAGAGAGAGAGATCGAGAGAGAGAGAGAGAAAGAGAGAGAGAGAGAGAGAGAGAGAAGATTGGTTAGAGAGGGAGAGTTATACAGTGACTAGGCCACACTTGTGATTAATGTCTTGCCGTGAGGGCACAGTGTCTGTGTGTGTGTGTGTGTGTGTGTGTGTGTGTGTGTGCGTGTGTGTGTGATAAATTGATAGCACTTTCTTTTGTTCTCGCGGGGGAAAAGAACAAAACGCTACTAACTGCTGTGAGCAAATGGATTTGCTGTTCCAAATACTCGGCGGTATTACTCTGCAGGTACAGGGCTGAAATGAGCAGTGAAGCAAACATACTAATGGGATGCTGGACTGCTAGAAAGACTCACATATAGAAGTGTAAATGATACTGCTGCTGTATCAGGTGGCATATCTTCACCTGCAGTGCTGTGAAAAAGTCTTCGTTTGTTTAATTTCCACTAAAAACAGAAATTTAGCACGAGTTAAAAAAAGAAAACATATACATAAACATTCTATCATTTTCTTCGGTATTTAATGTGTCCACTACCTTTATTACAGCTTGCACTCACTTTCAGTTTCTCAAAGAAATCTGCAGGGATATTTTTCCACACCTCTAAAGTTCAGTTTTAGACGTTGGTTGCATTTTCTGTTTCTCACAATCCAAACACATTCAGTGATGTCGAGGTCTGGACTCTGGGGTGGTCAGTCCATTGTTCAGCTTCTTTGTTTGATGTGTCCGTCTCCTTTTCTCAGTGAGGTTCTTCTTGAACAGCTACACATCCTTTCAGACCCACAGCGCTGAGTCGTCTTCTCACAGTGGAAGGATGGACAGAAACACCTGTGGATGTTTTCAGATCTGAAGCAGCTTGATTTTCTCCTCTCTCTCAAAGATGAAAGCTTTAAGTGCTGTTTATCTGATGGGGGCAGTTTTAGTGTCTACCAGGTCTTCCAGGTGGTTGTTGGGAGTCCCATTTTCTCTGTAGCTTTTAATCACTTTTTGAACTCCAGTTTTGGAAACTCCTGCTTTTTCACTTGACTTTCCTCTTCTTTATGCAGTGGATGATCGTATATCTAATCTCCTGAAAAGTGAATAACTTTTACTTCATGGCTGTTTTGACTAGAAAGTAAATAAGTGATGGGTGGTCTCTGACCTTTTCACAGCACTGTATACCTGCTACTGTTCTGGACAGTTCAGTTTATGTTCAGTTATGTTTGGAGCAAGAAGGATTATGCATATTACAGAAACTTCACCACAGTGAAGCATGGTGGTGGGAGCATCATGATATGGAACAGCTTCTCTGCAAATGGTACCGGGGCCTTACATGTCATTGAAGGAAACATGAATGGATCCATGTGCCAGGATATATTTTAGGAGAATTTACTTGGCCCAGAAAAGGGAGAAGATGGACGTTTCAACAAGAAAATGACCCCAAACATACAGCCAAAATAAATGAAGTGGATTTTTCAACAGGAACACACTTGTCTTTGCAAACTTTACAGAGCTAATTGGATGAATACATAATGCAGAACTAGATACCGATACCTGATCCTTCAGTATCAGTCGATACTGAGTACGAATACCAATACTAATGCTATCTAACCTAACTCACATATAAGTCCTGATATTTATACAGTTACATTTTTAAAGTATTTTATTTTGGTAAAATCGATGTTGTGTGACACAAATAAAACACACACAGCTTGGCTAGATTGCATTTACTTGATGGATTATATTTATTAGATGTTTAAGAAAACTTATTTTTGTTTATTTACTGTATGTATTTAGT